TGTTTGTGTGCCCCTGCCTCTGTAGCCAATCCGTACCAGAATGTCTGTATTTTATGTTCTTGGTTTGTTCATCTTTGTCTTTCTCGGTCTGTTGCTCAGGTCCCAAGCTGGCAAAAAGACTGTCCTTGTCCCCAGGTACTCCCAGTCTCACCATCAGAGAACTGCAGGACACCGACTTTGGTTACTATAAGCTTCAGCTAACCGAATACAGCCAAAATACTCACACCATCTACAGACTCTACAAGATTGAAGGTACGGTGGAAGGGGCAGTCGCCAAGTGGGGTCTGGCACAGTATCAGGGTCCAACGGAGAACCCCGAGGAGAGGAAGATGCAGTGAAGGGGTAAAGGCAGGATAGGCAAATGGGGGAGGGAGATACAGTGAAGGGGAGAGGGTGAGAGCAAGGTGAATCGCAGGGCAGAGTTGAGGAGGGAAGGAATTTGTGCAAGAAAAAAGGAGGTGATGATAGAGAAAAGACGGTCTGCCGCCACCATCTGCTCATGAGTATTAATGCACTTGGTTCACAAAATGTGAGCACCGTTTGAGCTGTTATATAGATTTCCCTTTGTTTCCTTTCTGCAGTCATTTGAAAGTTGCATAGAATTATATACCTTTTAGTATGTATTTTAAGTTTTACTGTGATGAAAGGTACTGTAGGCAGATAGGCAGCTCTTTGTAATGTTTCTCTTGCTCTTTTTGTTCCCTTCACTACCTCACTATTTGTCCTTCCTCACTCCCCTCCCTTCTCTACGTCAGTGTCATCTCCCCAGCCCTCCACTCTTCTGGCCACAGAGGACTTCTCCCTGAAATGTGTGGTGGATAGCAGTTCTGCTAGAACAGTCACCACCTGGTTCAGCCCAACAGACAAGGAGTTGACACCAGGGGGCCGGATTTCATACTCCGAAACAGAGAGCCAGTTGACGGTTCGGAATGCGAGCCGCAGTGACACCGGCAACTGGGGATGTGTTGTCCAATACAACCAGAAAAGCACTACCGCTACCCATGGTATCACCGTTGTAGGTACTGTAACTGAGCTCTATACGTGTCTCTTCTAGCGGTACACCTCGCTGTCCCTGATACTGGACTTCCTGTGTCTCTGTCCCTCTCTCTGGCTGTATATGACTAACTGTACCCCTGTAACTGATCTTCCTGTTTCTCTGTCCCTCTCTCTGGCTCTGTATGACTAACTCTTCCCCTGTACCTGGTCTTCCTGTGTCTTTTCCCCTCTCTCTGGCTCTATATGACTAACTCTAGCCCTGTACCTGGTCTTCCTGTGTCTTTTTCCCTCTCTCTGGCTGTACACCTTGAACACTGACCTTGTACCCGGTCTTCATGTGACTGGTCTTCTCTATCCCTCTCAGTCTGGCCGTACGTACCCCGTCTTCCTCTGGCCCGATCTATGAACTATTTTCTCCCTTTTCAGTTTTTCTCTGTATATCGGCATCCCTCTCAGAACTCTGACGCTCGCTTTCTGTTGGTCTGTCTTGGATGCTTTCCATCTTATTCTCGGGACCGAAGGTGGTCCCCGAGTTCATGATCTAGTGACAGACGTCGAATAAGCGATCGTATCCTGCGTCTACATGTAGCATAAACTGTAGTGGACACAAATAGTTTGGAGTCCATATTATCAACTTGATGGATACAGATACGTTATCCTTCACTGCAATCATTTGGAATTATGCTTATTTCTGATAAGCTAAGAGTTGCAGTAACCCCATGAGCATTCTGGCTCAAAGTGGGACTACTTCCTAGCTGAGATGACAGTCCAACAAAAATCAGTATGTGGGGTGTCAGATCATGTCCCCAGGTTTCGCTACTGATGGTGGTGATGGGCTGTATGATCATTTTAGATATTTGTTACAGAACCTTCTCTCGGGAGCAGGGGATACTCTGTATTCCCCTCTGTCTAACTGTTTAACTTTCTATCTCTCTGGTTCTGTACTGGTGTGGCTGCCTGTCCATCTGCTTTTTCTCTCTGTTCCCTGATGGGACACTGCAGTACACTACCAAGGGCATATTGGGTAGGGCAGTCAATGTTATTATATTGCAGATGCCTGTCTCAGTCAGTCAGTAGACAGTAGTGTTAATGTCATAACGCTAATGTAGTCATAGCCCAAGCCCAAGTACTCTCTTTACTCCATATCCTCCATCTCTTCACAGATCTTAATGCCCACTCTCAAGTCATCTATTCCTCCAGTATCTCCAAGTCAGTCCTCCTGCCCTGCTCTCTGTCTCCTGGCCTGACCTTCAAAGATGTGAAAAATGTGGGCCTTCAAAGTGGCGAGTGGATTTTCACCCCCAAAACTGCAAAGCATCCCTTTACTCTGACCTCCCTAAATTTGCAAGAAGAAAAGCCTACCTGGAGCATCCCACAGAACCCTAAATTGAATGTCAGTGTGATCCGAGATGACAACAGGAATTTTTCCCTCATAATTAACCAGCCACCATTAGAAAACGCTGGGCTCTATAGGTGCACTTTGAAGTTTAAAAACAAGTTGGAACTCCAGAGCACAGTGGAACTACGCTTATTGAGAGGTGAGAGGTCGGGGGGGTGAGAAAGTGTAATATAAACCCCAGGGGCATACCTAGCATGGGAGAATTCATACAGATCGTAATAAAGACACTGATGAAAAATCTGCACTGGAGAGATTAATATAGACCTTAGAGACACAGCTGAGACACATGTCCATATTAGACCTTAATAAGAATCCTAGACAAACATTTAGTACAGAAGGTTTAATATAGACAATATGGAGCCTCTTAATACAGAAAGATACAGTAATTACAATTCCAAAAATTGAGCATTAAAAGAATGTTCTCTATGCTACATTTCTTTCTCTCCATGTAGCATTCATGTATTGAAGTGCCCTGTACTTCATTTAGCATATGCATTGTATTAACCACTCCTACCCTTTCTCTCTCAGTTGTCAAAGACGTCAACACGACCCTGTATGAAGGTCAGGATGTCAATCTGACCTGCACTGTCGACAGCATCTTAGACCCCAGCTTTAATGTCACATGGGCTCCTCCCCGACTGTCCAAGGCCCAGCTGCAGGAGGTCCGTCTCACTGAGGGCTCCAGGCTGACCATCAGGAGTACCAGCGAGGGGGACAGTGGGAAATGGAAGTGCAGCCTAGAGAAGGATGGAAACACTGTGATCAGTGTGGCGCTGAAGCTGAAAATAGGTGAGCAATGATGGGAGAGAACTGGGTGGAAAGAACTTGGTGTTTGTATGCATGCTGGGTAAAGTACGTGTGCTGTAAATGGTGTAATGATATGTTTCATGTCCTGAACATGTCTTGTGTGGATGTGCATCATATAGCAAGGGCATATTGAATACAATGTTCCATGTTCCAAGGGCATGATTTGTAATTGGCATGTGTGTGCATGTGCAATGTACTGGTACACTGTCCAGGCTGTACTTCTGGTATAGAGTCTGGGTGATGGATAGATGGGTTGATAGATCATGCTTGTGTGGAGGGTCATTCATGTGTATAGTAAACGCGGTGTGCATTGTGTGATGTAGTGGTGCGGTATTGTGACTGTGTTTTATATCCCGTAAGTCTGCTGTGACTGAGGTGGTGGTGTGGAGTTGCACTGCACTGCAGCAGTGATAGTATAATGTGGTATTGTGTAGTGATGGCGGTGCATGATGATCGACCAGTTCTGTGGTCTTTTGTATTGACCATGTTGTCATTGTGTGTTGTGTAGAGAAGGTTCCTGTGGATGTGTGGCTGGTGGTACTGGGCTGTGCAGCCATCTTCATCTTCACCTGTCTCATCGTCATCATTGTCCGCCTTATACGGAGATACCAGCAGGTCAGTGGAGACAGAGCACTGTGCTGTACACATGAGTGTAGTACAATACAATATAATCAGATGCACTATGTCACCTAAACAGTACAATACCATTTTAAACAGTATGTTTAGGACGCGTGACTTTCATTTTTAATTTTACAGCCCCGTACCTTGAGCACCAATCAACAGCCTTTCCAATATATTATGTCAGAATGCAAATAAGAGAAAATGATTCATTAACGTCCTGAAACGGGAAGTGAGCCCTGAGCATCTGATGACTGTGGATCTTTAGTTTAGGCTGCAAAGCATTGACAGGTACATTCCTTGCTCATGTCTTTGCCACAGTAGAAGCACATGGATGAAAAATGCCCATTAGGACAGTGATGGAAATGGAATTTGGGTGAATAGATTCGGATGTGAACGTTTTGCAGTTCAGGGGAAAGCTGACTACGTTTCGCTGACCACAGGCTCTTTGGCTATGAATTGGGAAATGTGAGTCACCTCCAAGGGAATTTAGTAGCAGTCTCATAATACTAAGAATAAGCCCTGAAAATGTCAAATCTTAAGAGTGGTCCAGACTGTGTTTACAAAACATTGGAGAACGTGACTATCATTGCCTTTATACAGACATTTTGGGAATGTACGGAGTTGGTAAACTTATTTTCCCATGTGTCCATTGTTCTATAAAAGGACTGTTTGTATTTCATACTTTTGCTGGATGACGATCTAAATCTCTCACAGCAGTAGAAACAGATCTGACTCGATGGTTTAACTGTTTTGGCAACCTCTACACTCACTCTCCTGCTATCGCAAGCTTCGGACCTATCGTCATATTCATTTTATGGATTGGATTATAAGATCTGTGCAGTAAGAGTGAAAGTCCTGAAAGGGCAGCACAAAATTGGCAGAGAGCTATGAATCCCAGTTATATTCCCAGTTGTCTAGTATGTTAGGTTAAGGATATTTCATCAGAGTTCTCTTAGAGAATTCTGTGACCTTTCAGGTACTTGCAGTGGTCTAAGTGTGGGAATGTGCCATTTCGGTCATTGGATCCACAATGTTTGATTTGACAGTGGGGTTGTACTCTGTGCAGTCAGGTCCAAATCACCAGATAGTGTTAATTTAATCCAGTGCATTGCCATACACACGTCTGCAGGAAGAACTCCATTGGACAGCAAATCCGAAAAATGGGGGAGAGAATCAAAGCTTTCTGGACACAAAGGTGTAGGTGGATGAAAAGACAATCTGATTTCCATTTCCACTCAACAATGTCTGTGTGGTGGCTTGGGAGTATCCAGTTCTGTAGCTTAACCTTAGTACCTGGAAAAAAAAAAAGAAAAGAAAGGACCTGTTCAATTTGCTAGTACCTAACCGATCTCAATCTCATCCAGCTGTGTTTTGAAGGCCAGGGCATTCACTTCAACGGTGTGGCTGAGAAGGTCTGCCCAGACCTATATCAACATTTAAAGTAAAAAAAACTCAAAACAAATCCCCTTTCTTCAGTCTTAAGTACAATACTGTCCTGAAAAAATAAAATCTGTTCTTGTTCATAACTGAATTAGTTTTTCATTATTCAGGGCCTTGTTCTTATTAAAGATGACCCCCCCCCCCAAACCTCCCACAGCTGCCTGTTACATGACCTTGCCTAAGTCTGCCTTTCTCTCTCTCTGCACAGTCAGAGCCTGGACTTCTGAAGGCAATCCTTCTGTGCACACACACACACACACACACACACACACACACACACACACACAGCTGAGAGGCTTAATCACAGTTCCACAGGTCTGGGCACGTCAGTGTATGTGAAAGGTGTCCTGCCAGGCACATGGTGTTTCAGTTCTGACCCATGTCCTGGGCCTAGGCGCCTGCTCCAACTTGCACATCCCTCTCGGAGAGCAGATCCCGAGTGAGTCAGAGGGAAGAACAAGGGCTGATTCACATGTGGAGCCTGTTTCCTGCTGCCGCATTCCGGCCTCACACACCAGTTTTGAAATGCTGGCGGGAGGTCAGGAGGCCTGGCTTTTGGAATGGTTTCCTTGTCAATGTGCTCTTCTCGGGTGCCAAATTAAGTACCTCATTGCGAAACGAACCTACCAGGAAATCTAGGAACCTTTGCCCAGTAGAGGATTATGATGTTATTTTTTGTTATAAATAAATAGCAATTGTATTAAAATAAGAACAGAACGTACAGTAACTGGAGCAAATATAGTTCGTACAAGACGTAGATCAACAATAATACCCTGAACCCCCCAAAAATAATACAGACAGATAGAGCAACGGACAGATATTTAGGAAGCTAAACTAACAGGATAGAATGACGTTTTGTTTTATTCTTTGTGCATGCACTACTCTCTAGTTCAGGACTGGGATAGCCCCTCAGTTCGGCTCAGGACATTCTTGGTACTTTATGATTCTGCACTCATACTACTGCAGCCGCTGCTGCTTCTGCTGCTCGGGGGCTGTGTCAGGAAGTAAGTCTGTGCAGGTGTGTAGTGCTGTACATTGTTGTCTTTATCCCACAGAATCGGGGCTTCAGAAGAGCCAAGAGGAGGAGAACCAGATATTGCCGCTGCGAACAGTGAGTGTGATCGTGCCCTTCTTCCACACCTGTTTCTGCCTTCCTGTCTCTCTGTTTGTGCATTTGTACATCTGTTTCTCACCTAATTTGCCCGTTTCTGGCTCTTTACCAGTTTCTCCTCTAACTCGCCAGCCTGTAGCTCTTCACCTGTTTCTCCTCTAACTCGCCAGCCTGTAGCTCTT